GGGGGGGTCTTCCGAACCCCTGGCTACGGGCATGCATACGTGTAAAAAAAACGGCATTCCCTCCTCGTTACGTATAAGCCTAGCCTCTACCAGGCTTCGGGAGGCGGCTGGAAAGAGTAGAAATTGGCCAAACAGAGGCAAACTGTACTCTCTATCGGACCAACTCCCCTGGTATGTCATCTGTCTATTTGCCCAATTTCTAGATCTACCCTTTCCAGCCACCTAGCTCGAGCTCCCGAAGCCTGGTAGAGGCTATAGGCTAACGTTTGACATACATTTTGACTGAGCGGATCTTCTTTTTTCCCAGATCGCACCCGCACCCTTAGCCTTCCAAGCGGACATCCTCACGCAACAGGAGATCTTCACAGTTTCTCAGAACAGCATGTCCGATGACGTCACTGTGCTGATGGATGCCAAAAGGGTGAGTTCTTTTTTTTTTTTACATAAAAAAAACAGTAACAAAATAGCGTTTTTAACGCTTTTTAAAACATTTTGTCCACTTTGATTTGAGTCTATACAGTATAGTACATTTTTAGAGAACTGTATTGACACAACAAAAGTACAGCGACTTTCGTAAGGTCTAAGACATGTAAATATAAAGACAAATATAACATGACATGGGTACAACGAAAATATCCTACGTACAGAACAATAGATCATCCGTGCCCACTAACGACAATAGCGCCCCCTTTCACCCCTTCAGGGCATTACAGTGTACAAGGACGACACCCAGCAGGTGTGCCTACTGAGTAACCTGTACGAAAACCTGATGCCCACCGAGTCTGCTGACGTCACCGGATGGAAAATAAAGGTAGGAAAAGCTCCACATGCACTACTAGTATATAGTGACCCAGAGATCGTACAAGTTTACAACAACATGAGCTAGAGGGGTAACTTTTACAAAGCACATGGTCCGGCCTAACAAACTATCGCTCTCTTTATTCCTACTCAAACATATTCATCAGTGACTAGACAACCCCACGCTCCAACCCACCTCAGTTTTGCCCTGCCGCTTGCTACAATCAATTGTACATATGTGTACTACAATCAAGCCGCAAGCCTCAGGGTAGATGCATAGCGGCTGCAGACATGTCCCTCCAGTCCAGGATGTTCTGCTACATAATGTAACCCAACACCACGTGGTATCTGCTACATCACGATACCATGGTGACAACCTTCTGGTCCAGGCCATTGACCTTATTTTTGGAAATGGAAGAAGAATACAGGGCAAAACAATGTGTTTTTCCTTCTAGTAATATTACAATATTACAATGTCCAAGTTGACCACCGTCCCGGACGGCACAGTGAAGTGAAATATTAAATGTTCCCTTATATGCAGTATGTACATTAAGTTTCGAGTAAGATTTATCATATCCCTTCATCACCTTTTTGTCATATATTCGAATGAAAGCTCATCTGTATTGGTAGAATCCATAGTTTTGTTCCAACACAAGGAAGAAACTCACCATAAATTTTCGGCTGATCCCGTCAACCTTCGTCAGATTTGTGATGCAGTCGCTGACTTTCCGGAAGTCGGAAACGTGATGACGTCAGGAGTGCATCAAAAGTGGCGGGAAGACGGTATCTCCCACCATCACGGTTCAGAGAGGGTTGGTGGGCCCTGATGTAAACTGCCTCCTTCACGCCTCTCACAAAGTAACAAGTTAATCCTGCTCCGTATCTAGAATGCGCACCTTATTCAATGTAACTGTTTGTCATATAGTTGCTGCTGGACGGAGAAGAAGAGGCAGATTTCCTAGACAGCCTGGACGCCAGCGAGCGGCAGCGCTATGTCGTCATGAACGTGCTGGGAAACGTCAGCGAGGAGACCGCGGAGGAGCTCGGGGACGAGATCGGCGAGCTGTGCGGTGACTACCCCGGGCTCGAGATCGCCCCCGCCTACGGCAATACCCAGGGCGGCCGCCAGAGGCGCGTTGTGCCCTTACTTGTGCGTGTGGCTGTTGTTGTCGGCAGCTCTCTGCTTCTCAAGGGGGATACACGCCAATAATTCTTAGTTTCATTCAGTGATTCGTTATATAAATCTATCAGCGCCTTTGTTTAAGCATTAGAAAATCTACTCGTACTTTACTTTGCTATGAATCTTTTTTCTAGGACTTTCCATCAAAACAGGTGTCCGAAACAGAAGAACAGTGACGAAAAGATGATGAATCGTACGCACGATATAACCACCGTGACACCGTCTTGTCTATATATCTCAAGTGCAATAGAATTGAGCTGCTAAACACGAACTTTAATGGAAATGAACTAACATATCTCTTGACGAAGTTAAGATGGGAATCAGTTGTCATTTATTTTACTATTCTTAATAGTTCCCAAGTGCTTGGTGATTTCAATGGCTGTATCTCTAGTTTATGGTGTACAAAGTTTATTTTTTGAAACGGCTGTGAATAAAGAAGTCAATGGAATACTTTGTCATCTTTCTTTTGCCCCCCCCCCAAAAAAGTACTTTCCTGAGCCCACAAGTTGTTTGAGTACAAACTCAGCTATGCCTATACCATGGAACCTATACGCCCAAAACAGTTACTCAAGCAACTGGATAATGATTTTGCAAACGGTCAGACGTTTCAGGTAGCATCCACTACCTTTCATCAGTGACACTGAGAGACCAGAGGCAAATTGCAGGTTTAAAAGCACAAACCATTGATATGCAAATAGGTGAAGTCTTTTTTTGGGGGGGGAAGTCCGAAAATTAAGAAACAAAAGTTAGGCAAGTCAAGACAAGGTCTCTTAGTGTCACTGACGATATATGTGGATGCTACTTGAAACGTCGACGTCTGACCGTTTCCAAAATCATATCCAGTTGCTTGAGAAACTGTTTTTGGCATATCTTATTACCTGGATGTCTAAACTTCAACGACACATGGAACCTATACATATTTCACTCCCAGTAATACAATAATATTGTACAGCTACATCTGTAATTGTCGTTGTCTACTAGAGGGGTCTGGGTGTAGTATAAGTGATAACAGGACATTTTGAAATTATGGTTCATTTATTTTTTCAATACACGAAATGTGCGCATATCAGTAACTATAGCAGTGTGTTTTACAAAACAAAACAAGAGTTTCATTGTCCACCATTATTGTTTTTTAACATTATCATTATGAAAACATGAAAACAGTCTAGTATAAATAATAACTTAAATAAGATGTCATTCAGAATAACACTGTTGAATAAAGTATACAGACCGTTTACTTGTAATGTTTGTATTGGGCAGCTCCTAGTTAGTGAGGCAGTGAATATTTTAGTTTCAATTTACATATATTTCATTATGCATGATTAAAGTAAAAACTACTTTTCATGATGCATGATTAAAGTAAAAACCACTTTTAAAATGTCAATGACAAACTTGATTCGGTCCCAATATGGCACAATAATCAATCTTACGAGTACCTAACATGACATGATTGCATGATTAACAACAGAAAGTATTCCAACTATATATATTTAGTGTACTGAACTATGATTTAACTCCCTTGGGCCACACCAATTTAATTTGTTGGTTCTCGGATTCGCCTCTTCATTTTTTTCTGATTTGCAAAAAAAAAAAAGATTCTGGTTCTGAATCAACTCAAAAATGCTCATATTTTGCCCCCAACAGTAGAGGAAATTCCTTTTCTTCCTAGTTGTTACAGTTTTTTCCATCTATCAATGCAGTGGTTTGATTAAAAGTTCAAAATTTATACTTAAAATTTTAACCCAGCCTTTTTTGTTCACTTCATGGCTCATATTGTAGCATTTGGGGCTATAATAGGATGCCTAGACCTGTTTTTATTTTTATTTTTTTTCGCCCTGTCGCTTCATATTTTTTCTGAAAAAATCCGAGAACCAACAAATTAAATTGGTGTGGCCTTGGTTACAATTGACATCTGTGTTACAACAACAAAACATTACACATGCAGAAAGAATTTACAACAGTCAATACTATACATTTTTTGTACATTTGTCTATGAATCCAATACAACTCAATTCACCTTGAAATACATTGTTGGGCTGCTTTTAATTAAGCTCTTCAAAGGCTGAGCACAACTTGGTACCAATTCCACAGAATTAAAATCACACATTCACATAATATATAAAGCTTTCAACTACATGTACTGTAATGCAGTAAACAGAAATGCACAAATTCGGGGATTTCCAATTCCACCTCTACAGGAAAATTTCACAAAAAAAACTATTGTAACATAATTACAGTGTGACTGTGAACTTGCAACACACCTTCCAAAACATGTAAAGTTACAATAAATACAAAGACTGGTATTGGATGATATTGCACCCTTTTTTCAACACTTTCCTAAATGATACTGTATTTACTGTTTGTAGTGAGTTAAAAGAACATAGGCTAGTAAGAATCATATTCAATGACTCTTTTTGTTCACTTTTGCTCATGATTAAGCTCTATTGTGTATTCATGTGTTTACTTTTTCTGATTTCTTGCACAGAAACTGGGAAACACAGATTCTGAAGTGCATTACAATGCCCTGAACAAGAATGGAATAGCAGCTACAACTGTGAAAATTAGTAAACTACATGTATGTAGTGTTACCACAAAACATCAAACCATCATAAGTATACTTGAATACAAGAAACACACTGATGTCACTGATTTACAGCTATCAAATCACACAGCTTTACTTCTTTTTCCTGTCATAGACCTTAGTCATTCATTAAACATGATTGTTGACAAAATAGTTAATCTGGCATTTTAGTCTCTCCTAATCTTCCATTTTTGTGTCTTAATTCTATCTCACTATTGTTACCCTTGACACAACATATCTAAACCACTCACCTTCAAAAATACAAGTCTACCTTTACCTATTTTAACAAGAAGGAGCACTTCCCACAATGTTTAAGCTTTAAAATGGGCATTGGTCCAATAGCATGTAAATGGACTTACAAGAAACCTCTAGGTGGGGTTAAAACCCCTGAGCAGCATGGTAATAAACAGACCTCAGATTTCTTACTTCTCCAACTTCAATCCCTCCACTGTGTCAGAAAAGTGAAGTGCTACACAATTTTGAATAGCCCACTCCCCAATGTCAGTAGCATGTCAAGTAGAACTTACTGAGTTTGTGTGAAACCTGGATAACTTGTGTCACCCCCCGTCTCTGTTCAAGGTAGGTCTGTGAGCTCTTATGTATGACCCGCTACTACATGTACGGTCACGTGTCTCTGACGTCACGTTCCAAGAGTAGACGGGTCCATTCCGTGAACAAGTTTAATGTAGTCAACCGAAAATTTGGGTAAGTCCCAATTCCCTAATCTAAGTGTTGGAAGTTAAAGCTTAGTCTTTATTTCATAATCGGTTTCTTCTCGTTTCTTAGTAATGGTAAAAAGGTAAGAACAGGTACGTTTCAATATAGAAGGTTTGTCTAAGCTCATTAGAAATATAAATTTATCTGTACAGCATAGATGTACAATGTATAAGAAACCTAGATTTTTCTTTGGATATTTCAAGCCTCAGCACCGGTGTGCCAGCATGTCTAATTATAACCCTCGGATGACGGAGAACAACTGACAATAAACTGGATGGTAAGTGAGTTCAGTCAACATTGCATCAAAATTTTGCCTGTTGCAGATGATATCATTTCCAACACAACGTATGAAAACTATACAGTTGATGTCATCATTAAATACACAAATATGACCAGGATACAGTATGGGTTTCACACAGACGCAGTATGTTCTGCTGAAATTCTGATGTCATTGGTGCCTAGTGCTGTGTACCTAAACCCACATTTAGGTTCAGGTCCGGACTCATACGTAAGTCTGGACCTAAACCCATGGCATATACAAAATTGCATGTTGGCAACCTTGCAATGTTGTTTGGGCAAAACTTTGACCACATAACATGGAGGCCGACACTTGACCATGCCCGATGGCAATGTTTTCTTCATTTTGCAGCACAAATTTTGTAATCTATGGAAGGTTTTAGATGGTTTGGAAAGAAAAGGGGTATGTGACATGTTTTTTTTTTTTTTATAATAAGTCTGGAATCGGTTCTTGACTTGTAGGTTTTTTTGGGACTTGAACCTAAACATTCTTACAAGTCCGCAACTGGTCCAGCAAAGTGGTGCCCGATGTACACTTGTGTACCCCTCTCCCTGCCACTGTGAGCCTCATCTGTGCATAAAAGTCGCATTGGATACAGCATAACCTGGCAGTGATAACTGAAACATTGATGTTGACAGCTGCCGACACCGTTGAAGGTCCTACTGTTCTTGCAGCAAATGTACTACACATGTTTGTCTTAAAAGAGAACTGTTGAGCACTGTGTGAAGACAGCTGCCAACATCGTTGAAGAGATTCATTTGTCACGTATAGTTACAGTTACTAGAGAATCTTTCAGCAGTGACAAGTTTTGAAGGGTAAGAGTGCACATTGTACTTCTTGCCCCGTGAACAAGATGGACTGATATTTAGAGTCATCAAAAATTTGGAGGTCAGTATTCTTACCCTTCAAAACTTGTCACTGCTGAAAGAATACTCTAGTAGCTGCCAACAGCATTCAAGGTCCAACTGTTGTTGCATGAAGTATATCATGTCCAAGCGTTGAGAAGTATTGAGAACTGTTAGAGGAGGTACATGTATGTTAGCCTCCTTCGCAGTCTTGTTGGGCGTCGGCGTTATTTTTTTTCTCTGAGCGACGCGAGTAATATGCGGCTGCGAGGGACGATTTGCTGCCGAGGGAGTTTTTGCCACGGAGAGAAGGTTTCGCGCTCCATTTTGTTGAGTTACAAGTTCTTCCAACAGAGAAAGAATGAACATTGGTAATGTCACAACAAAGGCATTGCTGTGCATATTTAAGCATCCCATGCAAACAAACCAAGACAAACTTTGCAGTACTATTTTTGCTGGTGAAATGTGAAATGTGTTCCTCGACGAGCCAAAACTTGCAACTTTACTAGCGGTCGCTAATCAACCCGTCGGTAGAACGCCAACCATTCCCGAAAACCGAGCCCTATCCACTCAACAAAATCCCGTAGTTATTGCTGCTACGAAAAATAACTTTGAACAGATCACTACCACAGGAACCCGCAAGCTAAACTGTGATATTGCAGGGGGACGTGGACAGATAAACAAAGTGCCGCCATATTACACATATTACTCGCGTCGCTCAGAGAAAAAATAACGCCGACGCCCAACAAGACTGCGAAGGAGGCTACATGTATGTACATTGTAGTAGCCTCCAGAGCATGCCAAAAACTGGCGGCTTTGGGGTTCTTCAGGGTCTTTGGGAGCTTTTATGTGCTATTTTCTGATTGCATATAGACAACACAGCCGGCCTGGTTGAATCATCCCCGTTTTTTTTTTTTTTTTCAGAAAATAGCTGAAGACCACCAAACCCCCAGTTCTATATGCCTGCTACGGAGGCTAGTATGTAGCTGGAGAACATGTTTGTGAGGTACCATAAAAACTGTAGAGGAATAGGGGTCAGCTGCGAACTGAGGCTACAGAAATAAAAACTATCGAGCAAAAAAAACAAAAACATCTCGCGACCTTCTCATCCCCTCGCCAAGGTCAGGAACTCTTCCCTCGTCTTGGGGTCTTCTCGGAACACTCCCAGCATGCAACTGGTGACCGTCTTGCTGTTGAGTTTCTGAACCCCACGCATCACCATGCACATGTGCCTGAGGAGTTCAGAAATAAGTTAGGACATATAATATATATATATATAGTCAAGTCAATCTTTATTGCACAACAATTGTAACGGGTACAATGCATGGCAAACTCTTCAGTACTACATATCTAGCTAGCATCTACTCTCACGTCTACAGTATTAACAACGTTACCTACAAGTTCTATGTATCGAAAATAACATTATTCTATTTGAAAAGGTAATATAGTACATGTACATGTATATATATATGGAACATGGCTTACATGATAATGTACATGTCTTAAGTTTTTATATATGACTGTATAAACTAGAGTGTACATCAGTTGCTTGAGTCGGATATAATATGATTTCTTTTAACTAAAGCCTACGTACAGGGAAGTTTCGTCGGAACATCCTTCAGTCAACATTGACCATGATAAAATTCTAAATGATATCAGCCATAAAGCTTCGGCTATTGCTGAACAGTCAAATGCAACAGTTACTGTTTTTTTTCCTGATTTGCTTCTCTTCTGCTCTCTTAGTGCATCATGACAAGGTGTAGGGAGATCATAGTCATGGGTGCCATCCCCTACTGTGAGTGAGAGATAATCCCTCGGCCAGGGAAAGCCACACGCCCCGCCGACCCCGATTTGCGCCCTGGCTCTAATTATCTCCTCGCTGGCGTGAAAGATATTGGGTTTGGGGGAGCCTGGGGTTGTGCGGCGGATACAGTAGCGGACATTAGGGCTTCTTTCCACAAAAAAATCTATCGCTTATGAACGCCAGCGTCTGGCACCTAGGCTAAGTTGGAGTGTTGATAGTCAGCAGCATATCTTCCCTATCAGGGCAAGGGTGAAGAGGTCACCTGTCAGACAACAAGCCTCCAAGGCATGATCTTTGCCCCGACCTGTCAACACAGGCAGATCTCTGTGTGTCCATGTAGTGCATTTTAAACACCTCCACCAGAGTAGACTGCTTATAATCATTTCTGTGTCTTGATTTTGTTTAATTAACCAATCATTTCATTATCTAGATCTTGATGTTTAATTCAAATATGTTTTGTATCATAGTTACCTTTGTTTGGGGTAGGCCCTTTAAAAACCACCTAGGTTTCTGGCAGATGCAGAAGCTGGGGTGTTATGCTGAAGGGCGGTTATACCGGCTATACAGATACAGAAGCTGGTGTGTTACGCCGAAGGGTGGTTATACCGGCTATACAGATACAGAAGCTGGTGTGTTACGCCGAAGGGCGGTTATACCGGCTATACAGATACAGAAGCTGGTGTATTATGCTGAAGGGTGGTTATACTGGCTATACAGATACAGAAGCTGGTGTGTTACGCCGAGGGGCGGTTATACCGGCTACACAGATACAGAAGCTGGTGTGTTATGCTGAAGGGCAGTTATACCGGCTACACAGATACAGAAGCTGGTGTATTATGCTGAAGGGTGGTTATACTGGCTATACAGATACAGAAGCTGGTGTGTTACGCCGAGGGGCGGTTATACCGGCTACACAGATACAGAAGCTGGTGTGTTATGCTGAAGGGCTAGTTATACCGGCTACTACAGATACAGAAGCTGGTGTATTATGCTGGAAGGGTGGTTATACTGGCTATACAGATACAGAAGCTGGTGTGTTACGCCGAGGGGCGGTTATACCGGCTACACAGATACAGAAGCTGGTGTGTTATGCCGAAGGACAGTTATACCAGCTACACAGATACAGAAGCTGGTGTGTTATGCTGAAGGGTGGTTATACTGGCTATACCGATACTATGATTAGAGACTTGGTGACTTACGTTGCTTCACACACGACTGCCACCCCAGCAGGCTGGATGGCCTCGCTCAGGGCCAGGGCAATCTGCTTCGTCAGCCGCTCCTGAACTGTGAAATACATGGAACAGGATTTGTTTAAAGTTAAAACTTTTGGTCCAACACAAAAAATTCTCTCATCTAGAGCTTTTGACCAGTCACTCTGGTCTTCCTCAGTAGACTGACCCAGTGAAGTATACATCAGGGCTCATCACCCTACATTGAACCGCGACGGGGGTCGACATCGTCTACCAGATACCTTTGACCCAGTGTTGACGTCACACTTCAAAGAATCCACATGACAATCCTCACTGGGTCAGTCTACTGAGAAAGACCAGAGTGACTGGTCGAAAGCTCTAGATGAGAGAACTTTTTTGTGTTGGAGCAAAAGTTTTAACTTTAAAAATGTAACTACCAACACAGATGAACTTTCATGATGGAACAGGATTTGCTTCATTGTACAGTCAATACCGCTGCATCAATATACCGGTACGGCGGTACCGTGAACACAGAAACAAAACATGTCTCAACACTACGTCGATGAAGGTTAGGCATCCAGGTGATACGATACGCCAAAAAGCAGTTACTCAAGCAACTGGATATGATTTTGGAAACGATTTTGTGCTTATATATTATAAACCTGCCTTTCTCCTCTGGTCTCTCAGTCACTGACGAAAGCTAGTGGATACTAGCTGGAACGTCTGACCGTTTCCAACATCATATCCAGTTGCTTGAGTAACTGCTTTTTGGCATGTCAACACTGATGACCTATCTTCTTTTATTCTTGTCCATCCTAGTTAATTGATCATTTCACAAAATAACAAATAAACACAACAATAACACAAAAGATAACACATATCTCTCTCTACCACAGATCTTTATACTACGGATCCAAAAACAGGATTACAACAGAATACACAAATAAAAGAAAAGATATTGACCAATTAAAGCAACACTAGTACAGGAAGAAAATTAATAATAACACATGGTCTTTTACAGCTATTAGATCTAAATAACTTAATACACAGTCAGATGGAATAATTATGGAATAACTATCATGGATAATCAAACTACTACAAGTATGACACAATAATATATCTACAATAATATATATAATATAAACCAGTATTATTATTATTATTATATCTTCTTTCAGCTATTTTGGAGTGCATTTTGGCATTCCTGTATTTTTTCCTGAAGTAAAAGTTAACCTTCTCCCGGATGCCAAATACCATATCCAATAGAGTATTGGTAGCCAAATGGCTGCTTCAGTGTGCTCTTGTGTGTTAAAACTGAAGAGCTACTGGTATGTTTCAATCATGAATCTCTCAAGTTGCCTACCTTGTAATCTCCTACTGTACATCTCCACTATTCTGAAAGAGAGAATTTTTTGTGTTGAAACAAAAGTTTTAACTCTAAACATGTAACTACCAACACAGATGAACTTTCATGATAGTATAAAAAAACAAAAATCATCATCACAGTAGTTTTCAGAAACAGACATCCATTCCCTTTTAAGTATAATGAAAAGCAATACAAAGATCCAAAACTTGTGAGTGATAAGCTTGCTTTATGAGCCTTTGTTTTCTGTGAACTTGTTGAAAATGCTTGAAACAGACAGTTATCATTTGTACTTGTATTTAACCTCCTTGATTGTATCACCTCTAAGTTATTCTCACTCTCATACTGAGCTCATACAGTATTTGGCTAACCTTGTCATCTGTACAAGATTGTGAAAAAAAACAACTTCAAATAATCTTTTTGCTAAGTTTAATAATGACGTTTCAAGTCTCTTGCCTACCTGGCAATTTTACTCAGTCCAAGCACCTTTTTGTTTGGTAGATATCCCACTGAAACCTGTAAGACAAAGAGATGTAGGTGAAATACGCACAACTGGCTTTGTATTCAGTATCAGTACACAGTACCATCTGCTACATCATGTATATGGTGCACCATCTTCAAAACCTATTATTCATCACCATGGATCATGGCAAAAGAAGTACCACAAATTCTATATGGTATGTCAATAGAAGTTGTATACATAGTTGCTTCATGAGTAGCTTGTAAAATTATAATCCTAAGGTCACACCAATTTAATTTCTTGGTTAACGGATTCGCCCGCTTTATTTTTTTTCTGATTTGCAAATAAAAATAAAACTTCAGAATCAACTGCAAAATGCTCATATTTTGCCCTGAACAGTTGAAAACAGTCCTTTTCTTCCTAGTTGTTACAGTTATTCCACGTTTCAATGCAGTGGTATCATTAAAAGTTCAAAATTCATTGTTTAAATTTTGAACCAGCCTGGTGTGTTAACTTCATGGCTCATATCATACCATTTTGGGCCATAATAGGATGCCTAGGCCTGTTTTTATTTTTTTTCGCCCGCCCGCTCCATTTTTTTCTAGAAAAATCCATTAACCAAGAAATTAAATTGGTGTGGCCTAATCCAGAGAATTTGGAACATGTGCTGTTGTTATGGTAAAACCTGGATGATCAAACATGTGTACTTTATTCTGTTGACCAATAGTAAAACCAGAAACCCTTTACAGGTGTTCTAATGCCAGAACTCTGACACACAGACCTAATGACATAGTTTTCAGCCATTAAATACAGCACAATGCTAACAGTATCATTAAAGAGGGAAGGCCAATTTCTAAAGCATTAAAAAGTCTCATGTTTTTCTTGGCCATTAGGTAAGTACACATTGCCATCTGACATTCCCTGTTTAAATGCACTTAACCACCTGTTAAAAGTTGCTTTTCCAAGAACTTCCTGCACTTTGATACTTATTAAATACAACAAAACCTTAGTTACATTGAGGTCTTGTTGGTAAGAATACAAATACAGTCCAGGGCTCAAAATTCATTTTTGGGGAATAGGTGCACTGGTGCACCCAACCAAAAAAAAATAGTTGCACAAAAAATTTTCTGGGTGCACCCTATAAAACAAAACCTAATTACAGATCTTACTGCTCCTCTTCTGAGCTTGAATCTGAAATTGGAAGCTAACTTCAAAATCTTAAACAAGTACTACATCAAAGATGTTATCATTTTTCTGCCACTTAGATGCCAAGGATATCCTGTATTGTATTATACATTTCATCATCATCAAAATTATACATTCAATATGTATAAAATACCTACAAAGTTATTTGGGCGCACCTGACCAGTGCACCCACGGAAAAACAATTGGGTGCACAGCTCCAAATTTGGGTGCACCCAGTATTTCGAGCCCTACAGTCTGATCTTAATTCAAAGATAACATGTCCCCATTCACCCCTAAAACAATATTGCCCTTTTGCCGTGTTTTAGGAGACAGACAAACGTCATACACCCTTACCACTAGCCTCTGCCAGGCTTTAGAAGTGGCTGGAAAGAGTAGAAATTCACCAAATACACAGATAAGAACCAAGGGGACTTGGCCAACTAAAGGATTTAAATATTTTCCACCCTGAATGAAAACTGTACTAGTACTCTGTTAGCAGACTACATTTGTAACTCCCCCCTGGCAAGTTATCTGTCTATTTGGTACTCCCCAAGCTATAAGGTTTGGGTTTTCGCTACTTTTTTGCACTTTTTTGGTGTGTTTTAGCCTTTTCTATGTAGTTTTCTTTCTTGCACTGTATTTTTCATACCATAAAAAAGCCTAAAATCATGCCAGAAATAAGCCAAAACCAAAACCTCTGCTTGGAGAATATCTAATTGGCTAATTTCTACAGTCTTTCACCTTACCACCAGCACCAGTGTTAGGTTTTCCCCGCCTCTGTCCCCAAAGAAACGGCTCTCTAACCTTGCCCATGAATGGGACCAGGTGATGCTCGCATAGCGAGAACAACTCAATATCGCGCACTATAACCATGTTGTCACAGTCCTCATCAAATATCGCGTCAGACACTACCTCTGGAAAAATCAACACAAGCGGCAGTTTACAAGCAAGCAAGTTAAAAAGCAGAACCTGAACAGCCTTCTTACGTGATGCTTGAGTAACACTGTTGTAGCCTGGAGTCCTGTCTTGCTGGGCAGCAGATTTTTTGGGAGCAGAATAAAGCTAGCAAAACCGGACTCTAGGCTATCACTGTTATTGTTCTTCTTGATTTAACAAAGAAAAGAAAGAGTGGCCTGAAACTGAAATGTGGCAAAAATATAGACCAAATCCACATATCATTTCCCAAACAATTTGTGAATGCATTTAAACAAAGTCTTTCTTTCAAAGAATTTTTAAAACTGGCGAAGTAATATGCCAGTTCACCTGTTGCATGCATGATTATTCAGACTCTCTTTCACATTCTCAATTGTAAAATCACACAGTATTTACTTAGTGAAGCACCAATTTAGTAGTAGAAAGCTGTTCAGGAATATGCAGGCAATGTTGTCATATGTCACTCACAAGTACCTTTCCAATGAAGGGCACCAAATGATGCTCACACATGGAGAACATCTCAATGTCCCTTACTATCACCATTTCATCTGTGTCTTCATCGAACACCGCATCATTCAGGATACCTGCAAAGCATAGATGGCATCAAACATCCTCCAAGCACTAGAGAACAAAATGTTTTACTTAATAGAGACATCTTTCAAAGTAGTAGACAACTATTAGTTAATGTGTTTGTGAGATAAAGAGACACTGAGGTATTTGATGGCAAATTTGGCATAGTCTTAACCACAACTAAAATAATTGCCCTAAACAAAAGAAATAAAAATTCATGTGTATAATGAAGTTGTCTTATCCCCAATTTCAGCTGTACACAAAATCACTCACTTGTCTTCCTTTTTTAAAACAATCAAAGCAATTGCATGCCCTCTTTATGGCCTTTTAGTGACTGTGGTAAACAATGCCAGTGAAAACCTGGCCTTCATTTTATGATTACCTGGATACCTGTTTAACAGGTTGCTCATCTCTGAATTGATGCTGATCCATTTTTTGCAGAAATCAATGTTTCAAAAAGATTGTCTGCATGTCACTTTCGAGATTTGTGTGAAAACTTTTGACTTCTGCGCCAATGTCATGTCAGTGTGGCCTTGTTCAATCAAGGAGGTTACATTAAACCTCCTTGGCTGAATACTGAGGGTTTCAATGTGATATTTGTAACGTGTCGCCAGTTGCCAGGAGGCATAAAATCAGAAGCATGTCAAGTGGTTTTCAAGGAGCCAGGAATTTGAATGGGGGGGTTCTTCCCACTGCCAAAAGCGCGAGGTTCCCAGGGGGGTCCATGCTCCCCCGGGAAATTTTGAAAAATGGACCTTCTGAAATGGCATTTCCTGCGTTTTTTTAGAGGATTTCAAAGAAAAAATCAGAGATAACTTTTTTCAATGACAAAGTGAGCCGTTTTCCTACGATTCCAGCTTCGCTGGTGATACGAATCAGTCCAGAATCTTTTAAAGAAAAATCTTGGACCTTTAGATAAAACGTGGACCAAAGAGTGGACCTTTGAGCCTTGTGGGGGGGTTCTTCCGAACCCCCCAAACCCCCCCTGGCTACGGGCATGATATCATCATATAGACTAAAGCTCATGCATGGCTGAGTGGAACAATATTGTCACATGATTAAACTGTGACACACCCCCAGGGGCCTGTAAACTTAAAGAAAAGAAAAGAAAACTTCCTACAACATGCAAGCTCAAGTCACCACTAATCTTCAAGCAGATCCTAGGGTGGCATAAGACAGTACCAGGATACTGCCTGGCCAATTTGATACTGTCTTATGGCACCCTAGGATCTGCTTGGGCATGCTTGCTGCCAAGGGCCAAAACTTTGTTCGACTGCCATATATATATCATAGGTCAACAACAACAAATCATTTTAAAAACAGGTTTCCTGAGCACTCCTGACATAACTTCTGACAGGTTTGATAAAAACAAGGAGCTTTAAATTTAAGGACTTTTAAACTCCTTGGATAAAAATAATTAACAAGGTACAAACTATAGCAACTACTGGTACATAACGGCTACTCTAACCTATCTACCAATAATAATAAACTTTATTACTACGAGGTAGCATAGCAACTACTGGTACGTAACGGCTAATCTAAGGCCACACCAATTTAATTTCTTGGTTAACGGATTTGCCCGCTTCATTTTTTTTCTGATTTGCAAATAAAAATAAAAATTCAGAATCAACTGCAAAATGCTCAATATTTTGCCCTGAACAGTTGAAAACAGTCCTTTTCATCATAGTTGTTACAGACAGTTATTCCATCTTTCAATGCAATGGTATCATTAAAGTTAAAAAAAAAGATTTGTGTCTAACCTTGTAGGTCCTCCTGGTAGCCCTTAGTGAAGTACATGAGAGCTTTGGCCGCTCGGCTGGGTGTTTTTAACAGGCCCTGGCGGGTCGGCTCTTCCCCCACGCTGCTTAGAATCGTGTGGTACGCCGCCTCCATGTCGGGGAGCGCCCGATTCATCTGGTCCACGGAACGCGTTCGCTCGACGATGTCGATATCTCGCGAGGACTGGACCCTGGCTAGCGGCGGCCTCCCTCTGCCTAGAAAAGAACAAGAAACAGCCATATCTTCAGTTTAAATATCAGAGTTATCAACCAAGAATTGAGGTGTTACAAAAACTCGTATTTCCCCAGAACTATCGTAGACTGGAACTCATTGCCACCAAGCACAGTTGGGGCATTATCACTACCAGGTAGTAGAAAGCTTTAAACAACTCCTGCAAATATTAAATGTGCAAAGATTGAGTGTAACAAGTCGTTCAGTGTGTGTGCTTTAGGCCACACCAATTTAATTTCTTGGTTAACGGATTCGCCGCTTCATTTTTTTCTGATTTGCAAATAAAAATAAAAATAATTTAGAATCAACTGCAAACTACTCATATTTTGCCCTGAATAGTTGAAAACAGTCCTTTTCGTCCTAGTTGTTACAGTTATTCCATCTTTTAATGCAATGGTATCATTAAAGGTTCAAAATTCACTGTTTAAATTTTGAACGAGCACGGTGTGTTGACTTCATGGCTCCTATCGTACCATTTTGGGCAATAATAGGATGCCTAGGCCTGTTTTTATTTTTATTTTTTTTTCGCCCGCCCGCTCCATTATTTTTCTAGAAAAATCCGTTAACCAAGAAATTAAATTGGTGTGGCCTTATGTGCTTTATTAAACTCCATTAGCGACACACAAGACATAATGGTACAAAATCAAGTAATACTATGTAGCTAATCTTCCTGGAGTTAAAGTACAGTAACTTAACAATAGTACAAGTACACTACAATAGTACAAATACACTACATCAGAATTACAACATTATTTACATACAACATTTAACTCAACATTTAAAAGTAACATCACAGTGCCGATCAACATGTGCTCTAACAACTCCTGCCTAAACCTACTCTTAGTTGCTGCTTGAACCTCATGTGGCAAAGTATTCCAAACTGCATGTTAAAGATCTATAAATGAAAGTGTGATATAGCTAGCTGCCGCCGCGCCGCGTGCCTGCTAAGTGCCTGATACAGATAGTGAGATACAGATATACCTCGTCCCCCGTCGCCATTCTGGGAGTCCTCGGTGGTGTCTCCGTCGTCTTTCCCGATGGGTTTTCTACCCGGGTCGGTGTGGGATCGCACTCGGCTTTTCAGCGAAGCGACGTCGCCGAAAATCACATCGTCTGCATCGGCGGTGGGTCCGTTCACGACCGACATGTTTCCCTGTACCCGTAAAGAACGTTTTTACCAGCGCGAAAATGTTTCTGAACGATATATTTTGTTGTTGGTCGAGGTTGTTGTCTTCTTGCTCGTCTTGTGCCAATCTTGTGAACTATTAGCTAACCTTTGACCAGGCTTGACGTCATGGGCCACGCCCACAACGTAAAGTCCACTTGCGATGTAAAATACTTTTTCATAAGTTTAATTATGACCGTAAAATAGCAAAAAATGTTTAAAAATATTATTACTACCAGTAAAGTATACAAATTTTACTAACCAGTATGCATATTATACTCCCTTTAGACTATTTTGAATGGAAATAAAAATTGCAAACAAAAAGGATGTTACCCCTACAAATTTGGTCGAGTCCGATATGCGTGGCGCGAAAAATCGTGCTGACCTTCTCATCCGCAAGGGCAAAGGATGTCAACATGAAAGGCACTCGTTGACGTGCGGGCATATTTACAGTGATTCAGATCGCCCAATTACCCGGTACGCCGTAATTTCTGCTTCCCACGATCTTCCCAAAACCTCCTGCGGGACTACAGGTTGCGGTTTTCACGTCAGAACGCACGTCATCTGTGTCCATAATATCACCAGGGTCCATAATATCGCCACCTTGAGAAACAGTGTGCTTTAATAAAGATATGGTACATACCCTAGGTATGTACATTTGATGTGTGAAGGAGAGCATACTAAAAGTATGTTGCAGTAAAAATATACTGTTTCTCAAGGTGGCGATATTTTGGACCCTGGTGATATTATGGACACGGATGTTAATCTCCAAGCAGATGTTTTGGTGGCCCATGCATGCAGCTATAAGTATAACGTTAAATTTGAGACACTGTGAGATGGGTATCAAATTGCCCAGGCAGTATCCACATGTGTATATTTTAACCAGGCAGTATCCATTTGTCAGTGAAATGGGTTGGGTGCCAAATGGATACTGTCTGGCTAATATTTATACTGTATTTTGCCACCCTAGGATCTGCTTGGAGATTAAGTGCGTGTGGCACAGGCCATCTTCAGGTTAAATTATGGTTGACTTTTGGATTGCAAGAAAATTGCTCTAGACTAGAAGTAGAACGCAACTCTTGAGATGTTGGGTGAGGGATGGAGGACCATTGACAGTATTTCCCATGCAGAGCGGTTATTGCTATTAGGCCATGTTGATTTGATTATATGGATGACATCCGCGCGCGCATGAATTTTCGGCCGTTTCCCAAAAAAAAAAGTTTTCAACCATACTGTAAATCGTACAAAACAGTTGCAAAATGAGCAAAAATATACCGTAAGTTACAAAAGAATAAGTAAAAACTATACCAAGGTCATAGAATGCCAAAATTAAACGAAAAAAGACGAAATTGTAAGGAAATGAACTTGAAGATTAGATTATTCGCCAAACCATATTCTGTCCCATTTGTTCAACCCTCATGACCACGTAGATTTCATTATGAAAACAACTTTTTTTTTTGCAAAACTTTTTTTTTATTCGCACGCGCGCATCAGTTTTGGGGATCCCGGAGGATGTCATCCATATAATCAAATCAACATGGCCTTACTGTAGTATAAGATATCGACCCTAGCCTCTACCAGGCTTTGGAAAGTGGCAGGAAAGAGTAGAAGTTGGCCAAATACTAGAGAGATAGCATGCCAGGGAAGTTGGTCTGCTGGAGAGTACAGTTTGCAGCATCCGGGTAACTCCCTTGGCATGTTATCTCTCTATTTGGCCGATTTGTACTCTTTCCAGCCACCTCCCAAAGCCTGTTAGAGGCTATGTCACCCCCACATTGCATCACATTTGCCGCAGTATTTGATTCAGTCTCATCATCATCATCATCCCTCCACTCTCCTCTCTCACGTTCACCTGTGGCAGAACCTTCAGAGCCCGTATAGGACTTGTGAGCCACAGCCGGACACACAAGACCTGATGTGATGTTCATTGGTCATCGTCGACTACGACGGACGAACAATATAGCCTTTACCAGGCTGTCTGTTATGTATTTTAGGTCAGTTAGTAGAACACCCCCCATACCCCCTGTCCAACTAGTGGCAGATTCCATAAAGAGCAGAGAGTTTTCCATATGGTATGAGTTAGGCCCACTTTAGACTAGAAACGTTAAGGGGTTTTGGCCAGGGAAAACGTTTCAGAACGGTTAACCGTTCCCGGTCTAAAGAAGAAAAACGGTATTCGACCTTTGGCGCGAGCTTCCTAGGGGGGTCCGTGGGCATGCTCCCCCGGAAAATTTTGAAAAATGAACATTTTTGAGAGGATTTCCAAGAAAAAATCAGAGATAAATTTTTATTCAATGACAAAGGGAGCAGTTTTTCTACGATTCCAGTCCATCTTTTCAAGAAAAATCTTGGACCTTTACATAAAAAGTGGACCAAAAAGTGGACCTTTACATAAAAAGTGGACCAAAAAGTGGACCTTTGAGCCTTGTGGGGGGGTTCTTCCGAACCCCCGAACCCCCCTGGCTACCGGCATGCTCTTGCAATAAAATCTGAGAACGGGGATCTGCTGAGTCTCGTGGTCCTTTCTGTCGTCCCACCGGCCAATACAGCGGGGACGTCAGCTTCGTCTGATCCGACTCCTTACATCAGAGTAACCAGTCTGGCATGTTACTCCAACATTAACCCTTTCCAGCAGCTTCTGAAGCCTGGTAGAGGCTAGTAAACCAATACTACTAGTTTCTAAAGTTCCAACCAAAAAGACTCTCTAGCACCCAGGCTAATGACGTGCATGATATATATTGCTTTTGTCACAGACTATTATATTTGTAAATAATTTCATCAGGTTTGCAAACAATATTGAATATCTAAGTTCTTTAATCACAACCACTTGTTTAACAAGTCTGTCATTTTCATCAGCAGTCATTAGATGTGTCCTAAAGAAGACGACAGACAGTCACTGAAATGTCGGCTCTTGTTTAACAAGTGGTTGTGAATTAAGAACTTTGCTGTTTGGCATGTTATACGATAGTGTATCATTCTGTATCTGTATAACTGGTATAACCGCCCTTTGGCGTAACACACCAGCTTCTGTATCTGTATAGCCGGTATAACCGCCCTTCGGCGTAACACACCAGCTTCTGTATCTGTATAGCCAGTATAACTGCCCTTTGGTGTAACACACCAGCTTCTGTATCTGTATAGCAGATATACATCTAACCGCACTTTGGTGTAACACAGCAGCTTCTGTGTCTATATACCCAGTACATGTATAACCGCTCTTCAGCACAACATGCCAGCTTCGAAGGCACGCGGCGTGGCGGCAGCTGGCTACATTACACCGAACAGCTTGTCACACCCAACCCTTGAACACTTAACTCTAATCATTGTAATCATAAATGTCTCTGCTTTCAGCAGTTCTGAAGGAAGATTGCAGACCGGAGGACTGACAGCCCACCTTTGGTACCACAGATATATACTCAGGACAAGGCAGGCCTTCAGCAGTCTGCCCCATGCTACTGACATGCATATAACATCTGTGTCCATAATATCACCAGGGTCCATAATATCGCCACCTTGAGAAATAGTGTGCTTAAAGATATTTTTACTGCAACATACTTTTGGTATGTAACGTTATATTTGATGTGTGAAGGAGTGCATACCAAAAGTATGTTGCAGTAAAAATAGCTTTAAGCACACTGTTTCTCAAGGTGGCGATATTATGGACCCTGGTGATATGATGGACACAGATGTTACATGTACATATTGCTTTTATGACTGTTAGAACAATTTTGTTAATACTGGTACTTTTTTTCCGCAGTCCTGCAGGAGGGTTAAGGACTGAGAGTCCACCTTACAGGAAGTGGTACCACAGATATGTACTCAGGACCAGGCAGGCCCTCAGCAGTCTGCCCCATGCTACTGACATGCATATACATGTACATATTGCTTTTGTGACTGTTTTACAATTTTGTTAATACTAGTAATTCTTTCAGCAGTCCTGCAGGAGGATGAAGGACTCACTGAGAGCCCACCTCATGGGAAGTGGTACTACTCTCCAAGCAGATGGTGGGGAAGAATGATCGTTACCTTTTTATATATGGCCGTTTTTTTTGTTGTCCTGATCCCCACCATGGAGCTTCTCTGGCTAATGGATACTGTATGGCCAATTTGATACTGTCTTTTTGCCACCGAGAGGGATCTGCTTGGAGATTAAGTGGTGCCACAAACATGTTCTCAGGACCAGGGAGACCCTCTGCGGTTTGGCACCCAGGCTAATGACGTGCACATACGTATTGCTTTTGTGACAGACTGTTATACAATTTTGTTAATACTAGTACTTTTTTCAGCACTTTATTCGGCAGTCCTGCATGCAGGAGGGTTAAGGACTGAGAGTCCACCTTACAGGAAGTGGTACAGAGATGTTCTCAGGACCAGGCAGACCCTCAGCAGTCTGCTCCATGCTGCTGACATGCATATACATGTGTACATATTGCTTTTGTGACTGTTATACAATTTTGTTTTAAAATACTAGTACTTTTTTCAGCACTTCATTCAGCAGTCCTGCAGGAGGGTCCACCTGTGAGAGTCCACCTTACAGGAAGTGGTACCACAGAGATGTTTTCAGGACCAGGCAGGCCCTCAGCAGTCTGTCCCATGCTGCTGCCACAGAACACTCAGCAAACTCTCTATGATGGCTTCATCTCTGCTGGGGTAGGTCAATGTCAGTGTATTTATCCAGTTGCTTGAGTAACTGTTTTCTTGTGTATCTCAACACCTGGATGTCTAACCTTTATTGACATAGTAGATATTAACAGTAATATGTATGTGGTCCAGGGAAAGGAGTATCGACTGAGGATTCAGCTGCCTCCATCCAGGGAGCTGAAGAGAGCTAGGTACCTATTCTTTCTTTTTTTTCTTTTTTTTTCTTTACTTCAGAATTCACCTCAAAACAAGGCTCATGAGAGCCACTCAGTAATACATGTTTTGGGTTACAGTGATGACTGCGTGGTCAGATATTTGTTCACCCTTGATTTAAACTGTTGGAGGTTGTAATTAGCGGTGAAACATTCACGGGGAAGCTGAATAGAATCATGGAATTGAATGGATAGGGTCTGTAGAAGCTGAATAGAATCATGGAATTGAATGGATAGGGTAGAAAACCACTTTGTCCACATCAAAGCAGCAGAAAAATTAGCTACATGTAGTATTTCATTGAAAAGTAACATCCTCACAAAGTCAGTACAGTCTTGACATACACAGAACATACATTGGATGATGCCCTCTCCTATACACAGACAAGGAAACATAGAAACAGCTACAAGACTCAAAATTAAGTGGAGGCCGTTCCAATTATAACTAGTAAAATCATATCTGTCCTGGTCTTTCATAATATATCTCAGATGTTTCAGGTTTACAGGTTTATTTATTCATCTGAGTAATCTGAATGTTTGTAAAATCACTACTTGCAGGATAGACTGTGATTGGAGACTCCAACTTGTACTTCAAGACAAGCAGGACATATTCAAACAGGTGGGTTTCAAGTAATCTCCAATCAGATCTTTTGGTTACCAGTCTGCAAGACAGTATCAGATTGGCAAGGCAGTATCCACTTGATTTTATTAGATGCTTATCTAGTGCAAGCTTAAAGCTAATGCCACCCAAAGTTTGGCTGGCTAAATCTCTGCTTGGAGAGTAGCTTTGTCCCAGAAGTAAACCTTCTCTCTAACTTTCCATCATAATTTGTATTTCCTTCAAAGATGTAAAGCACAAAATATGCCTTTTTAATTGGACATGCTTATAAGCAGACAAGTATCACTATGAACAAAAAATTTCATAAATTGTCTAATTTTTTCCAGAGACTAGAGCAGAGTCCTGACCTGACTACTTTTCTGGTGGAGTTACAGAACCTACTGGTATGTGGAAAATACTGAGTGTACATTCTTGGATAGCAAAGTTTATAGTTAGTTACCTCTAATTGGTCTAATTAGTAATCTAATTGGTTACCAAACTTATTTCAGTTTTATTTTAAACTTTTAAATCAACCGTGTCCAGACCTATTTGCGAGGATGTAACATCTGTGTCCATAATATCACCAGGGTCCATAATATCGCCACCTTGAGAAACAGTGTGCTTAAAGATTATATTTGCAACATACTTTTGGTATGCACTCCTTCACACATCAAACGTACATACCTATGGTATGTTGCAGTAAAAATATCTTAAAGCACACTATTTCTCAAGGTGGCGATATTATGGACCCTGGTGATATTATGGACACGGATGTTAGGACTCGGGAGCTAAAATACCGGTAGGTAACCAGGCTATAATCTAATTTTTTTATTTTTTATTCACATGGATTTTTTATTTTATTCACATGGATTTATTCAGCATTGGATAGGAAGCACTTGTTGTGCTTATGTGAATCCGCCGCTCATAAAACATAATACAAAAGTAAACATAAAGATGACATAAAGTATAACATAAACATAAAATGAAAGTGGCTGGCGCACCAATACCTATAGCATAATAATGAGATTGGTCAAATCTTCCAGACTGATGAATATAGTTGAACACAATATCAAAGATACGGCAGTTTGTAGGGTATGGGAGGGAGGGGCTACCTGTAAGAAGTAAAGTACATAATGTGGCGTTATTTTCCTGTAGGAACAGACGTCGTCCCAGCAGTCGTCTGTGGGCCCCCCTCCCCAGTACTTCAGCCAGCTGGTGCAGGAGATAGATCAGCTGGGCTGGGACAGGTGGGAAACATCTCTATCATTCATTCATTCATTCATTCATTCATTCATTCATTCATTCATTCATTCATTCATTCATTCATTCATTCATTCATTCATTCATTCATTCATTCATTCATTCATTCATTCATTCATTCATTCATTCATTCATTCATTCATTCATTCATTCATTCATTCATTTTATTCATTCTTTATTTCATTTTATTCATTCTTTATTTCTGTCCCAAGTGGCAGCTAAAGTGTACAATCGGCTCCTGCTAAATAGACTCCGTCCTGTGATTGACAAACTTTTGCGCCCAAATCAGAATGGCTTCAGGCCTTCACGCTCTACCTCGGCCCAGATTCTCGCTTTCCGCCGAATCGTTGAAGAAGTTCGAAACCACCAGAAGGAAGCTGTCCTTATCTTCATCGATTTTAAGAAAGCATTTGACTCGATCAATCGTGACACCATGTTTAAGATCCTACAGGCATATGGTGTTCCTCTGCAGATTGTCAACGCAATTAAGATTATGTATGACAACACTAAGGCTACTGTCCTCACACCCGAGGGAGAAACAGACACCTTTAACATCAATACAGGCGTCTTGCAGGGTGACCCCCTTGCTCCGTTTCTTTTCATTGTTGTGTTAGACTACGCCTTACGTAGAGCAGTAAGAACTCATGACGGCATTACTTTAAAGAGAAGACAGAGCTCGCGTCACCCAGCAGTGGTGCTACCTGACCTTGACTTTGCTGACGATATTTGTCTTCTAGAAGACACTATCAAAGCTGCTCAAGAGTTTCTGTACAGGGTAGAGCATGCCACACAGGATATTGGACTTTATTTAAATGCACTTAAGACTAAATTTATGCACCTTAACCCTCCAACAAGGCCCCAGGCCTTGCTGTCTAGTGATGGCTCTACTATTGAGCAAGTGGATGACTTTAAATACCTTGGCAGTTATGGTAACACAGTCCATGATGTGAAATGTAGGATTGGGCAAGCTTGGGGGGCTTCTAATGCCCTAACAAAAGTGTGGAAATCCCCAATAGCCAACTCTACCAAGCTAAAAGTCTTTAAAACCTGCGTTGAGTCAATCCTGCTCTACGGAGCTGACTCGTGGTCTCTGACAGCATCCTTGTGTAAACTTCTGGATGGGAACTACACCCGCCTGCTTCGTGCAGCCCTCAACATTTCATGGAGGAGCCACGTGACCAACAACCAACTTTATGGGAATATGCCTAGGATTACAACAGTCATCCGCAACTGTAGGCTGTCGCTGGCCGGTCATGTCATGCGACACGACGAAATGGCAGGGTTGGTACTTCTCTGGTCACCAACAGAAAAGCGGAGACGCGGTCGCCCTTCTTTAACTCTGAAGAAGGTGATAGAGGGGGACATAGGGCTGGGCGGTGCTGAACTGTCCTCTGTCATGCGCGACAGGAACTTGTGGAGGCAGTACATCGTGTCACCTGATTGAAGGATGAACTGAACCTGAACTGATTTCGGGTAAAAACCCATATAACGCATGTACAGTACATCATTGAAATAATACAGAAACTCTAGATCTACATACATACAAATAAAACAGGAAGAAACCTAGAAGCATAACAAATTGTAGGTCTTCCGGAAGAATGAATTTCGGTAAAAGGCATTGGAACTTATTAAGCGACTGATTGTTGCGTTGTTGGAGGAAAATAATCTTTTTAGAAAAGACAAACATTTCACTCGCACTACATCGCCGAGGTAAATTCAAAATCTAAAACAATTGTTATAAGCAACTAGACAGAACACCTGAGCTAACAGAGCTCCATAACTGAACGCCATAGAGTCAACATCTTTAGTCTGTTTCCAGACATAAATGATTTCCACTCCAATTATTTGTTGTTAAGTAAATGAAGTAAATAAGACATTGGAGACTTCTTGTATCTGTTAGTCCTGCCACCATGAGCAGGCAAACAAAATTTTTCTGCTTAAAGTTAAAACTTTTGTTCCAACACCAAAAGTTCTCTCATCTAGAGCTTTCGACCAGTCACTCTGGTCTTCCTCAGTAGACTGACCCAGTGAAACTTGTCACGTCGCTTCTTTGAAGTGTGACGTCAACATGTGTTGTGTTGGACCAAAAGTTTTAACTTAAAACATGTAACTACCAACACAGATTAACTTTCATGACAAAATTTTTCTGCCCTAGTCCATCTTTGCAACTCTTTGCAAGGAATTTTATCTTGATAGATGTTTGCCCATAGTTGATGTTATAAAGATAAGAATTCAGTATGGACGAAGTATTAGTATTAGTAAGGCCACACCAATTTAATTTGTTGCTTCTCGGATCGCCCTGTCCATTTTTTTCTGATTTGCAAAATGAAAGTCCTTTTCGGTTCTAAATTACTTGCAAAATGCTCAATGAAAGAAATATTTTGGCCCAACAGTTGAAGACAGTCCTTTTCTCCCTAATTCTTAAAGTTTTTCAATGTAACAATGCAATTTTGTTTCATTAAAAGTTCAAAATATATAATTGTTTTATTTATAAACCAGCCCGGTATATATGTTGACTTCATGGCTTATATCGTAATATTTCTGGCTATCATGGGGTGCCTTGGCCTGTTTTTTTTTTCATTTTTATTTCGCCCTGTCGCTCCATATTTTTCCTGGAAAAATCCGAGAAACAAATTGGTGTGGCCTAACTGTTACAGTAAATTGGTGTGGCCTAACTGTTACATATAGGTCTGAACCCATCTTTGGTGTCTAAGTGACCGACTCCATTCTTCAGGCTTGCGTACATCGACCCAAGCTTCAGAAGCCTGCAGCTGCAGTGCAGAGACAGCCGCCAGAGGGAGCACATTCTCACCATCAACCTACACAACCAGGTAGGTCACACAAGGGAGGCCAAGAAACAGTTACGTTGGTGAAGGTTACACATCCAGGTAATAAGATACACCAAAAAGCAGTTACTCAAGCAACTGGATATGATTTTGGAAACTGTCTGACGTTTTTGGTGCAAAAAACAGTTTGTCAAGCAACTGGATATGATTTTGGATTTTCCAAAATCATTAATCCAATTCAAGACCCTT